ATGTTCTTAACTCTATACCTTATACTGTTGGAAAAAAGCCATTTCTTAGATGTCGGGGGAAAAGAAATGAAGTTCCTTGGAGTCATTTCTGTTGGTACCTATCACTGGGTATGTCTCTTCCTTTCTAGCTTTTCTATCTTCCTGGTTTTAGAACTGTAGCTGCACATCAAGGAACCGTGTTGAAAGTTTCTTTCCTTTTCTTGTTGACATTACATCTGTGGTTATGACTTCAATTGTATGTCTTTTTCCTTTTGTGAAATCCTTGAGACCAGATGTATTTTGGAATTCAGAATTTAGAAAGCTAATATGATGCATATATATTATGCAGTACTCCACTAGAGTGCAGGGCAACATCCCATGATCAAACAAATTACTATTTCTGAAGCAGTAGAATATATGAATATTTACACTGGCATAATGGCTATAAATAAGTTCATAATTGGGTCAAGTTCTGTAGCCAAATGAGACCTTAAAAACAAACAAACCTCTTTTGAGTTTTCAGAGCTTTTTGGATTTTGTAATTGTAGATAAAGGGCTATGAATTTACATAACTTCTTTATGGCCAGTTCCCAAATCTTTCTTTACAGTTGACTTTTTTCCTATGTTCCCACCATCTTATCTCCAACTGACTTGCTGTCATCTCAAACTCAACATATCTAAATGAAAAGTGTCTGTACTTTTCCTTCAAAATATTCTTGCTGATGCTATCGTGATTTCCCCATTATCAGGATCCCAAATAATGTTTTCAGCTCCCTTCTCAATTTTATTGGTATTATTTTGTTAACGGTAATTCCTTGTAGCCATTTTCTTTGCTATTACCACTGACACCGTATGAGTCCAAGCCATCTTAAGGCAACAGTATGATAATATAGATAGACTACTACTTATAAATGTGTTATACTATAAAATATCACCTTATAAAATTTCATGCTTATAAATTCATCCTATAAAAGTTCACATATTTTGCTATGGAAATATGTCTAGGCTATCATGATGGCCCACAAAAGCCTAATCTACCCAAACCATGATTTATTTAAGAATTGCAGCAGCTTACCAAGCTTGGCTAAATATGATCCTGCTTCCAAATAGGGTACTTATCAATGGAGGGAGAAGCTTCCCTGTACCAGGCCGTAGGCCAGATGATATTGGCAAGGAGGAGCACCAGATTCTATTCCTAAATTGTAATATTCTCATGTGATTTTATATATGATATTTAATATATACATGTTCACATACTGTTAAACTTCATTTAACAAGAGAAACAAAAAGTAGATGTTTCATAAAGAGGAGAGCTGGGTTTGTTTGAGAAAACAGCTCCAAGGACCTACAGAACATTATTCTAGTTAAATGTGAACCTCCGGTCTAAGGGCTTTCTAAGTTGGGTGTGTGCATGTTCCTGGGTCTACGTGAGTGTGAGCTAGTGAGAAACTGACAGATGCAAAGCAAAGATGTACTGGAGTTACTTCAACTAAGAGCACCATGGGTAGAGCTAAGTGTCAGGAACGTAACATATATTAATGATTACATAACAACATCTCCTTTGGAAATTTCCTTTGTGAATCTCACAAAATATCTGAGAAACTTTTCTTTTAGCTTCCTTTGAGGAAGGGTTATAATTCTTGATGAAATTAACATGTGATCTTTGCTTTCAAGTTGTTTACACTTTATTTCATTGACTGTTTGCAACCTTCCAACTAGGACTCTGTATCCTTAAGAATTTATTCCTCTTCAGTTTTTTTTAAGAGCTTTTTCTTGAGGAAAAATGTTGTACGCCATCCCAAGAATATTAATGTTGTTTTGTTGACAATTATCAGATTAAGGAAAGATTATGATATAAACTGTAGTCCACAAAGTTCTTTATCATTTGCTTAATAACAGAAGATAATGAAATAGACTTATACTTTTAAGAATTTATAAGCTGAGTAACAACTTTGTTTTAAGGGGTAGTGTTTCCTGAAAGAATTTTTGAGTTTTACATTGTCATATATAGTTTTGCTTTTGTAGTCAGTGGTGTACACACTGACATTTGCTCACCAGTTTATATAAATGGCAATGGTTACTAGCTATAACTTCATTTTAATATACTTAATCAAGAATTATTCAGAATCTGGCCAGGCG